TAATAGCCCTACTTAATATAATAGGCAAGGTGCTAGAGAAAATTGTCGCTAAAAGGCTTACAACCTTTGCCGAGGAAAGGAATATCCTTCCTAAAGGCTAGATAGGAGGAAGAAAGAAGAGGTTAATACTAACAGCTATAGAACTAATTATAGAACAGATCAAGCATATCTAGTACTATAGTTAAAACTAGGTAGTAACCCTCCTCTCCCTTAATATCTTAGGAGCCTTTAACAATGTCTCCTGTAAAAGACTCCTACATATACTTAAATAGAAAGCTACACTAAACTAGATAGTCTAATTCATCTAGTCCTTCCTATAGGAAAGATCGACATAGCTTATTCTAGGCAAATTCAAATTAGACCCAATGCTAACTGAAAAGGGAATCCCCTAAGGATTGGCACTCTCCCCAATCCTCTTCCTTATCTTTATAGTAGACCTACTCCTACTCCTAGAATTAAAAAACACATTAGTATTAGGGTTTGTAGATAATACAAACATCCTAGCCTAGTCTAAGACAATAGAAACCAACTGTAAGATCCTAGAAGAGAAGTACTAGGAGCATAAAAAATAGGTAAAGAGGTACAGAGCAAAATTCGCCTTAGAAAAGTACTAGCTTATCTACTTTAGCAAGGCTAAATCAACCTATAATATAAAGCAATCAATCACTATCTAAGGCTTTAAAACCCAACTATTAGCAGAGCTTAGGGTACTAGGGATCTAGCTAGATCCAAAACTGAATTAGGGACTACAAGCAAAGAAGGCAAAGCAGAGGGCAGATACTAATATACAATCTATCAATAGACTTATAGCCTCTATATAGGGGGCTACATTCGAGAAAGCTAAAGTCATATATAAAGCAATTGTTAAGCTAGCAATGCTATATAGAGCATAGATATAGACAGCCTAGGAGAAAATACTAAAGAGGATTAAGCAACTAGTTAGCAGGTCCCAAACCTAAAGCCTAAAGAAAATCCTAGGAGCATACAAAACTATACTAATAAGGGTAGTAGAAATGGAATTAGGGATCCTACTAGTTAAACAATACTTCAAGGGACTAAGACACTAATATACGGCAAAGACAATAGAATACCTAGTCTAACAGACTATCTAAAAGGTACTAGACAAGATAAAAGCCTAGTACATTAGGACTAGGAGGCGAGACAGACTACAAATAACTCCCTAGAAAGTTAAAGACCTAGAGCAATATAGAGTCTTAATAAGAGAAATGCTAGAGAAAGAGCTTTAGGGACTAAATATAAGGCTAAAGGAAGACAAGCCAAAGGGAGAGAAACAAAGCCTAGTAGAGTCAATTGCTAGATACCTATAGGAGCAGGAATAGAACAAAATACAAGTTAGACTAGGAACCCTAAAGGCACTAATCAAATTTAGTTAATACAACTACTAGCTCTATAAGGACCTAAATAGGGCCGAGGCAAGCCTAGCTATCCAAATCAGATCTGAATATATTAGACTCAGGTCTTACCTGTTTAGAAGAAACGTCCTAGGAATTGAAAGCAGAGCGTACTAATATAGCTACTAATCTTAGAACCCTAAGTATATACTACTAGTCTACCCTTAGTAGTTAGAAGGTAGAAGTAATTAGAGACTAAAAGCAATAGAAAGGGAATACGATAAGCTAATCTAGAGCAAAGAAGACCTAAAGAGGATAGTAAAGTAGATTATCAAATAGGGATTTATATAACAATTCGCACTAGCAAGGGAAACTAAGGAGTAGATAAGAAGGAGGGAAGAAGAGGGGGAAAGAAGGGCAGGGCAGCAGGCAAGGTAGTTAGAGGGTAACAACTATAACACTAGTATACCCTAGAGGAAGGAAAATAAGGAAACGAGGAAGATTAACACTTATAAATAGGACAGGAGGGAGGTTTTTACTAACTAAGTTAGTTTCCTACCTAAAACAATACATAGAAACAGACCTGCATAGGCCGAAAGGCACTATAATAGGCAAATGAAATATCTATCTATCTATCTATATGTTATAGGTAAGCAACGCGTACGTAGATACTAGATATAAGACTTAATAGGTTCGATAAAGAGCTAAGTCTATCTACGTAAATCCGAATAGTTTTGTGCGGTGCGCTAAGCGCTAAGCAGTAGGTTAGAGTCGCGTAGGCCGAATGCCTAAGGCTAGCGCTTTCTACCTAGGGCGTAGCCCTTTATATTACCCCCGTCCTCCTTCCCTTCCTTAGCGGGGATAGAAAGCCCTCCGTAGTTTCTATCGCTATTACTTCATCCGTTAGATCTGTACCTATCTAAGCTTCTCTAGAGTAACGCGCTCGTAGTTTCCTCCTTTGCGATCGGGGTTTCCGCTGCTTTCCGGTCGGGGTTGCCGTAACTAGGGTTTTAACGACTGTAACTTTCTTCGCGACTGCTAAACTACGCTCTTTTACCTGCTTACCGCCTTCTAGAACGCGCCGTAACTGCGCTTTTAAACGCTTTACTTGCAATCGCGCTTTCCTTTACTTTCGCGACCTTTACTTCGGCGTCGCCTTCTAGGAGTATTAATATTTCCCTCTTCTTCTTCTTCTTCCTCTTTTCTTTATATATACCCCTACTACTACTACTACTACTACTAACACCGCAAGTCCCTCCCCTTCCTCCTCGGTTCCCTTCGCAAAATTAACTTATCCTAGATAGCTCGTTAAATTTACTATATTAGTTGCTATAACTCCGGCGAAGACTACGCCGACTAATCTATAAGGTTCCCGTCCGATTTGTCGCGGGGTCTGCTAACTTTTCTTAAGCCCGCTAGCTCTAGGGCTTGCGCTAATTACGCTTGTAAGAGAATTGCCTACGCCCTACTATAAGTTATCGCGATTCCCGTATTAAATCTCTCGCTAACTATTTAGTCCTTAAATAGCCTACGTAGCCTACGCTAGCTATACCCGCGCGACTCGCGCTAATATCGCCGAGAAGCACTCCGAGCTTCTTAAGGTTCTTAAGGCCTAGAAAGCCCTTAAGTCTCTCTAGCTATAGAGGTTGTTATCTAAGTAAGATTCTCCGTTTCCTACGATAAAACCCTCGCTAACCGTTTGTTTTAGCGCTGTCGCCTCGGAGGTAACGAACACCGTCGCTAATGTCGTAGCTTAATAGACTTAGACGTAAGTTCCTCGCTACCCTTCGACTTTCTCTCGCTAACCTTTCTTTTTTAGTAGCGTTCCGACCGCCCTCCGTCTCGGTAACAATCGTCTAGGTCCGCTAAAGGAGTAAAGGTTTCCGTAGGTTTTCTAGGGGTTTCTAGGTAGTTTCGGATGTATTATTATTATTTTTTTTTTGTAGTCCTAAGGTAACCTTCTAATTTCGGGCAGAGACCCGATACTTACTTATAAATACCTAAATAAAATTCTTCTCGGCTCTAAATTATGTTTCTCTTCTCTAGTGTTCTAGTAATTCTAAGTCTAGTAAGTTAGTAAGAAAATCCAAACTCTAGAAGTTAGTAAAAGTCCCTAGAATCTATAAACCCGTTACTCCGCGGAAAAACTCTAGGTTACTGCGTTATTTCTTCCGTTTTCCTCTCTTCTCCTAATCTCCTAGAGGCCCGTCGTTCTCCTCGATTTGTCTATATTTCGCTTCGAAGTTGTCTAGCGCGGAGGTATCTACGATATAGTCTAGGGGTTCCTACATAGGTTTATAGTACCCGTTCTATTTTACGAGTGCTTCTCGCTCTCGGCCTCGCTTCTTTTTTCGGATATATAGGATTTCTTCGACCTGCTATTCTTTATACGTCTCGATTAAGATAGGGTCCGGCTGTTCGTCGTCGGTTACCTACCCTAGAAGGGGGTCCCGGCTCGCAAGTCTTAGAAGGTCGGTATAGAATACTAGGTAAATATTGCTAGGTATCCCCGAGAGTTGTACTAAGATAGGCGACAATACCTCTTCTACCGTATACTTAGCGTACTTCGAGTCGAGGCTCTTCTTTAGTCTACTAGTCTAGTAATTCCTTAGGTCGAGCTAGACCTTGTCTCCGATACGATATACCGGCGCTAGAGTTCTAGTCTTATTCGCGCTGTCCTCTTGCTTCTATACGGCCTCCGCTATTTATACTTAGTATAGATCTAAGATCTTCTTAATCTTGTTTACGAACTCCTCCGCCCGTTTCGCGGCAGTTAGCCGTCTATCGATAGCTAGGTCCTCTTCTAACGTAACGGGGGAGGTAGATTCGTAACCGTAAGTCGCGAAGAAAGAGCTTATTCCTAACCCCGCTTAGTGTCTCCCGTTAAACGCTAGTTCTGCCGTAGGAAGCTATTAGTTCTAATCGGACTATATCTAGTTAATATAGTTCCGTAGGTAAGCTTGTATATCTTAGTTTACGCGCTCCGGACCCCCGTCGGTTTGTAGGTAGTAGGCGGAGCTTAACCTCTGCTTTACGCCGAGTAGTCGACATATCTCCCTCTAGAAAGTGCTTGTCTAATTCGTACCTCTGTCGCTAGTAATAGTATAAGGAAGTCCGTAATACCTAACCTAGTATTTTAGAAACAATACCGCGCATTCCTCTACTTTTATAGAGGGAGTACCGATAAGGGCGATCTATTTGCTAAGGCGGTCTTTAATTACCTATAGATACCGGTTCCTATCTAACTCCGGTAGGTCGGTTATAAAGTCTATCGAGATTTTCTAGAAGAAACGGTTAGGTACCGGTAGGGGTTTTAGGAGGCCGTATTTGTGTTCCCTCTATACCTTATTACGTCTATAATAGTTATAGTTCCGTAGGAATTGCCGCACCTGCTTCGACTATAGCGGCTAGTAAAAGTCGCGACCTAGTATAGAAGTAGTAGAATCCCGGCCGGGGTAGCCGTAGAGCGGCGAGTCGTAGATCGACTAGATAATCTTCGTACGTAGCATATCCTACTATAGTTCCTCGGCCTCTATATCTTTATATTCGGTTTCCGTCGTCGCTAGGGCTCCTAGAACCTAGAGCTTGCCGCGGTAGCGAAGGAACCCCTTAGGGTCTATTATACAATCCCCGATCTAAATTTTTGCTTTAATTTCCGGTTGCAATGTTCTGCATCCCTTACGGATTTTCTATACTACTATCTAGTATACCGTATCTTTCTCGATAATGCTCTTCTATATATCGTTTATCTCTAGGTCCTAGAATAGTTTAGCGCTTTCCGGCGAAGGCTACGCGGGCTCCGTTTCGTTCGCGAGTAGGGATAACGGGCTCGCCTTCGTTATACGTAGGAAGCTATAGATAGTAGCACTAGAAATCTAGACGTTTTCCGGCTAGTTTAGAGAGAGGTCCGGCTCTAAGAATCTCCGGAACCTCGAAAGCTTGTCGTCTTAGCCTAACGTGTCTTATTCCCTCCTTAATAAGGTATCCGGTAGGATAGCTTCGATTCCTAGCCGGTAGACTAGGGTAAACTAGTATTTCGCTAGTTCTTCCTACTATCGGATCTGTCTTTCGGATAGCTAGCGCTTTACTATAAAGTATTCTAGGTTCTTGTAGTCCGTCTAAATCGTAAAGGGACTATATAATTTTAGCTCGGAGTCCTAAAACTTAATACTAGATACGACTGCGAGCATTTCCTTATTATAGATGTTGTAATTAATCTCCGCCTTGTTTAGTTTCTTCGAAAAGAAGCCTACCGGTCGGCGGATTCCCGCCTTTTCTTAGATAAGGGCGCCCCTAATCGCGAACCCGCTACAATCCGTCTTAAGGAAGGTAGAGAGAGACGGGTCCTACTAGGTAAGTACCGGGGCGCGGTAGAATTTGTCCTTTAGCGTCTCGAACGCTTTATCCTATTCTTCTCCCTAGGCGAACGGGGTTCCCTTGCTAGTAAGCGTAGTTAATAGTACGGAGATCTTAGAATAGTTCGGTACGAATATACGGTAGTAGTTCGTAAATCCTAAGAAACGACGAACTTCCTTTTAGGTCTTAGGTGCTACCTATTTTCGTACGGCTTCTACCTTTTCGGGGTCGGCTAACACTCCTTCTCCGTTAGCGTAAACGATAAATCCTAGGTACTTAATCTTTTTCTAGGCGAATTCGCTCTTTTTAATATCGAGGTAAAGGCCTCCGTCCTAAAGCTTCTTAAGTACCGCTCTTACCTTACGGAAATAGTCTTCCCTCGACCCGCTCGAGTAGATAACTACGTCGTCTATATACGCTAACGCGAAGTCGTCTAGATACTCCTATAAAAGAGTGTTAATATACCGTTAAAATATAGCCGGAGCTCCGGACAAACTAAACGGGTATACTAGCTGCTCGAACGAGCCTAGCCTCGTCCGGAAGGCTGTTTTATACTCGTATCCTTTTGCTATTCTAATCTTATAGAAGGCCGAGACTACGTTAACCTTAGTTAGCTACCGGGCCTCCGTTAGGTTCCTTATAGTGTCCGGGATTAGTAGGAGGGGGTATCTGTCTTGCTTCGTTAGAGCGTTAAGCGCCCTATAGTCGTAGTAGAACCGCAGTCCTCCCCCGGGCTTCTTAACGAACAGTACGGGCGCCGCCGCTTCGGAGTTCGCCGGTTTTATAAACCCCTTCTTTAGTAGCTCGTCTAGCGACTTCCGTAAGACTAAGAGTTCTTACTTCGATATACTATAGAGCGGACTCTAAGGGAGTTAAGGCTAGGATCCGTCTAGTTTCTTCCGGAGTTCTATCGTATAGTCGATACTAGGACGATAGGGCGCTAACTTATCGGCCTCCCTCTAATAAAATAGCGCGGCTATATCGCGAACCTCCGAGGGTAGCTTCTTCTTTAGCTCCTCGATCGTCGGGTATTCCTTCGTCTTTAGGGCCTTTTTAATATCCTCGGCAATTATCGCGGCAAGTAGGCTTCTTATAGCGTTAATCGTAGCGATATTCCCGTTCGTATCGACCTCGCGGTAATAGCGCCCTTCTTTAATCTAATATCGAGCCCTCCCGTAGTAGTACTATCGTTTCTTAGGCGCGGTCCTAACCTTATTATATGCCTTCTATAGGTTCCCTAGGATAAGGGGAAAAGCTAATCCCGGTACGACGTAAGCGTATACCGTTTATTAGAATCCGTTAATTTCTATCTAGAAAGCGACGACTCCTATAATTTTCGCGTCTTATATTGCCGACGACGCTCCTTTTACTTCTCGGGACTTACGGCTAATATAGCTAAGTCCGAGGCCTTTAGCTAGGCCTATATTAATTGTAGCGTAATACTAGCATCCTTCGTCGATAAGAGTAGAAGTTCCGACGTTATTTTCGAGGACTATATCGGTATATATAAGATTCCCGTTTATATCCTTTTTAACTTCTTCCTATTTCCTTACCCGTACTCTATCTACTCCCGACTCCTAACTACGAGTAGGAGTTACTCTTTTCCCGAGTCGGAACTGCTTAAGTCCGACTATTCTTCTACGTCCTCTAGAATAGATTATACGGAGGCGATACTAATCTTAGTAGGCTAAGCCGGCGGGGCGTATAGGCAATCTTAAATACGGTATCCGCTCGCTCCGTAGCGGAAGTAGAGCCTTTTCTCCTTACGCTTCTCTCTTTCTATAGAGTCGACCTATTTAGCCCTAGGTTTCCCTACCGTCGATTATTAGGCTCCGCGGTTCTTTCTATAGGAAGCGTTAGTTTAAGCGGGATTTATAACTACGTCTCTATTAGAGTCGACCTTCGGGTTCGTCGCGGGGGCCGTATAAGGGGGAATAACGACCGTAGGACTCGCTACTTCTTTCTTCCTTTCTTGCTAGCGTTTCGTAGCCTATTTAAACTAATCTATCGACTCGAGGTTCGTTATAATCCGCTCGACCTCCTCCGTATAGAGGTAGTAATCCTTAATCTTTAGTATAGCGGCAGTATAGGTCTTAGCTGCGTTCGAGAAGGTGTTCTTTAAATATCCGATTTTCGTATCGTCTATCTAACGGTCTCCGCCTACGCTTAGTAGGAGGCCGTCGAATTCTAGCTAGTAGTCGTACTAAGGTTGTCCCTAGGAGTGCCTTAGGGCTTAGAGTTACTCTAGCGCCTTTATAGCTTCGTTGCTATCCGTAAAGACGTCCTTAAGTTGCTAGAAGAAAGCTTCGGGGTCCTTTCCTTTCGTAAGGCTTCCTCTTTCCTAGAAGTAGCGCATCCTAGCGCGTTCCTTTGCCGGTAGGGTATCGTATACGGTGTCCTAGTAGTAATCTTCGGAGAGCTTTAGTTTCAGCCCGGAACGAACTCGGTACGAACTTCTTAGTCGTAGTAAGTAGTCCCGGAACGACTCGGCTTTCCTATCCTACGATAGTAGTTTCTACTCGCAGGACGCCGTTACGTTTTAGCCGGAAGCCGAGAGAGTTTCTAGCAGTCCTTTTAGGATCTCGTTCGTAGACTAGTCTCGAACTAAACTAGCTTCGGTAGGCCCGGGCTAGCGAGACGCTTCCGCGTATTAGAGCGCGGAACGAGTAGCTTATAGCTAGGCTTCTATCGTCTACTATCTAGTATAGAGACTCTCGAAGGCACGATAGATCTCGTCCCTAGTTATCTCCGGTACAGTAGAGGCAGCGTTCCCCTAGCTATCTTACTCGGGTTCCTAATAAACCTCCGCGTTTCCTATATTAATAATCGAACCTAATGTTACGGGTAAGCAACGCGTACGTAGATACTAGATGTAAGACTTAATAGGTTCGATAAAGAGCTAAGTCTATCTACGTAAATCCGAATAGTTTTGTGCGGTACGCTAAGCGCTAAGCAGTAGGTTAGAGTCGCGCAGGCCGAATGCCTAAGGCTAGCGCTTTCTACCTAGGGCGTAGCCCTTTACACTATATTACGCCTAATCTATACTTTTAGCGAGTTAAAGGATATCTCGATAGGATTAAAGTCTAGTAAGTATAGCGGCAAGTAACGTAGGTAAATACTAAAGCTATTATATAGGTCTTAAACGCGTAGAGTATAGTATATTAAGGCATTATCTATTACGAGAAATATACCCCTTTCTAGTCAAGGCAGTATAAACAACTCTAGCTAGTCTTCGAAGTCTACGGCTTTAATAGAGCCTTAGTAGATAAGGTAATCGTCTAGATAACCCTTACTTATTATAGTAGGTAGTATAGACTATCTCTTTAACCTCTTCGAGCCGCCGATATCTTTATAAGGAGTATTAACTTTAGAATAGCTATATTTCCGCTATCTAGTACGCTCGTTTAAACTAGACTCGTCGATATAGTAGATACAACCTATTAGTATCCCTTTCTATAGCGTACGCTAGTTCTCGCGCAACTCGTAGCTCTATTTAAGCGCCTTACGCTAAGCCTTCTTCTTCGAGAAGTTATAGCGTTTAAGGATATCGCTTACGGTCGTCTCGGATATAATAATATTAAACTCGTTATAAATAAACTATATAGTCTTAGAATAGTACGAAGTCGGTCGATCGTATAGGTATTCGAGAATACGTAGTTCTTACGCCTTAGTTAGCTTCCGAGAAGGTCCTTTCTTCGCCTATTACGGATACGGCTCGCTAAATAATATAATATTAATCCTTAAAGAGTTAATAGCGTAGCGACTAATATACGTCTTTCTAGAGATACTACGATTAGAGTAGCCCTCTACCTACAGATCCTATATAAAAGTAATCTAATTAGGAGGTATTTGCTAGCGGGTTAGCTACGCGTGTTTCTAACCTAATAATAGTGCTATTAGAACGCTAAAATAATACCTAGGACCGTCTATACTACTAGAAATACGACGATACAGTTTACGGTATTAGAAACGCGTTAGTTAGTTTAATATAGTTCGAATTGCTAACAATCTATAGTGGTTTCGCGAATTCTATAAAATTCGCGGAGTAGGTACGGTTACTCCGGTAGTATAGTACCGCGGGGTATTCTAAGTAAGGGTGTTTAGCGAGGTCGTATAACTACGAGCTTAGCTTGTTCTTTTCTACGAGAACAGCGAGAACTAATACCGGCTAAAAGTGTGGTTAATGCTAATATAAGTTGTATATCTATAGCGTAGTAGGATTTTTATACTATATCGAGAGGTCTCGGCAGGTCTCCGAAACTTGTAGACTAGAGCCTTGTATACCGCCATTTACGGACGTATACTTTACGGACCTACTACGGTTCGATATAATATCTCGCCCTCTGTTTTATAGCTTCGCGGTCGTGCTAGCGAATTTCTAATAAGGCCAATCTAGTAGACTTGCTATCGTAATCTCTATTTACTCGCCTTAGAAGAAGTATACTACGATACGGCCCTAGAGCGAATAAACTGCTTCTATTGCTTGTACTACAAGATCGTTATTATATTACCGAGTACCGTAATAGAAGATAGCAAACGATCTTTCCGAGCGGTACCTCTTACCTTCTCGGCTCTTCGACCGGAGGAATGCTCTAATAGAGAGCATCTCTCGTCCTTCTTATCCTTAGTTAGCTTTAATATCCCCGATTTAATCTTTCCGTATTATTCGACGTACGCGTAGTATTATCGACTCGTTCTAACCCTAATTCTTATAGTTAGCTCTTTAGTTGCTAGAGCGGTAGGTATATTGTATTATAAGGAGTCCTACTCTGCTCTTTACTACTAGTCGTTCTCTAAACCCCTGTAAACCCCGCCTGTCCTATCTCTCTCTAATAGGGGACACTAATTATAGAGCATGCTATAGTGTCCTAGAGTAGGTAGACGTTCTTAGGTAGAGCGTCTTTCTATATCTACGATATTGCAAATTGTACGAGTAGGACCTGTCCCCCTTATCGCGAAACATAAGCTAGTATATAGTGAATTTTGACTAATACTATAGAACTAGAGCTTGCAAGGTACAAAATATTATAATACGCGAAATGTCGTGCTAACCCGTAGAATCGCCGGTATACGTACCTCGTATATATTACTTCGTATAACCTACGCCTACTACTGAATTTTAGTAGGAAAGCTAGGCAGACAGAAGTATAAAATGCGATCTAGGTATTAATAACGTTTTCTATCTCTTCTAATATATATTGTCGCTATTTCTAGTAGTATAGCTAGTCCTAGGTATTGTTTGCTTAGCAAGCCGGTTGCTATAGTAAGACTACCTACTTAGTAGGTATAGGAACTCCTCCGCCTCTTTAATACTACTTCCTTGTCGAATAACGAGATTGCGCTATAGTTGAACCTCTCTAGGCGCTATATAGACAAGCTCCGTAATATATACGAGTTGTTTAGTATATTATATATTAAGGATTTAAACAAGTTAGGCCGGAAACGAGTCCTAAAGCCGCTATACGAAGAGGTGTATATTCGGTCGCGATTTGGTCGGTTTCTAGTGCTAATATATAGTTAGCGTATCCTCGAGTTCCTTACTAAGTGCCCTATCGCCTACTACGACGAGATTATCTAGTATCTCTACGATACCTTCGACGTTGTCGCGTCGCGCTATATTATCGCTCGTACGCTAAAGCGCCGCAACTAGACGAGGAAAGTAGGTATACGGATCGCGAAGGAGCGTAACTAAGAGCTACGTAAGGACTTCGAGGTATAGCAAACTAGCAAGAACGCGGATAAGGTATATTATATAGACGAGAGTGCTAGTAACGAGCGCACTAGATAGCGGAAGACTAGATACTTACTAAAGGGGTTGCCTTATTAGTTTAACGTATCTACGTAGAGGTCGAAGCGATAGAGTATATTGCTAGCGATAACTTCGCGTAGTTATCTCGACGGCACCCTCGTTATTTAAGGATTAATTACTACCGCTATCTTCGAAGACTAGCTCGAGTTTACTATTCTGCCGTAGCTTAGTTTAGGTTAGTAGCTTGTAATAGATAACGCACCTATCTATAGGAGTTACCGAGTAAAGGACCTCTATACCGCCGCTAGTATCTAGTTAAAGTACTTGCTGCTATACTTACTAGATTACAACCTAATCGAGAACTCGTTTACTAGCCTAAAGAGCTAGATTAAGCACTACATTTAAGACGTAGGCGCCTTCGAGGACTTTAGATACTTCGTTAAGTATACCGTAAAGGAGGCTAACGAGACAGCTATCTCGAGACACGTAGCGGCGTAGTTCTAGCGGTATAGATATCGCTATTAATAAGAAGGGAATTATTATACAATATAGCTAACTGTAGTTACTTATTCAACTATAGTCTTACTAAGACCGACGACCGTCTCTAACTTAGTAATACGGCCTTTTAACTCTTCTATCTCCTATCTTATTTCTTCTATAATAATACGTGCTATATTAGTAGCAACGTCCTTTATAATAGCCTCGATATGCTATAGATTTAGAAATACCGGCTATAGTAATAAGCTTCTTAAATTAGCTGAATTAGCTAACAGTAATATAGTAGTAGCATCTCGTAGAAGGTCCTCTTCGCCTTAACTGTCGGCAATCTTTTAAAAGTTAGTAAAATCTACTATTATACCTAATCGTCGTACCTCGAATGTTCTACCGGTAACTATTGCGATAGAAGAGTCCTTATTTTAGTAGTTTAGAGGCCGTTTCTGTCGCTAGTATTACCTCGAGGCTATTTAAATTAGTGCTATTAGTATAAGGGTGCGTTTTAGCTAGAATCCGGAGAGTACCCGCTTAGATAGCCGCGATCTATAACGACTAATAGGCTATTAATATACTACTACTATAATATATCTTTATTATCTCTTCGGTAGGAAACAATACTATCGATGCCGCCGAACAACCTCCCGTTGTCTGTTTTAAAAAGTATATAGTTGTTATAAAGATATAATGCTAACGGCATATTAGAAGATCGCGGCTTTCTATCGCCGTACTCTACTACTAACTCTACTACCGAAGGCCTCCGAGACCGCCGATATATCGCCTTTACTAATCGCGGGCTTAGCGCGCGAAGCTACGATTAACTATCGTCGATAGGCACCTATAACAATACTACTACGCTAGGTAATTAATGTATTTCTTATTATAGTCTAATGCTCTCGATACTAACGAAGAACCTCCCGTTTACACCGTATAAAAATACTAGATACTCGCTAAGATATAGCATAATTAACAAAGTCCGAAATCCTACTTCTATATTACCGCCCTACCGACCTACGACAACCTATACGCCGGCGTTCTAATATAGGTCTTCCTATAGCGATCGCTCGTCCTTATTATACTTCCGTAGGACACGTATTATCCGGCCGTATTAGCCTGCCTTTAAACCCTATTCCTTCTACTTAGACAGTATTACTGTTAATACTTAGTCTAGGCTATAATCTATTTCCTTTAAAACCCCGTAGATTGCCCTTATATTAGTCTTCCGCTCTCTCTAGCCGTTACGGTCTTGTCGCTTTAGCTAGTTAAAGAACATAACAAGTTGAATGTCCGGCGGCGTTATTATACGGTTAGCAGTATTACTAACAAGGGGACTAGAAGGCGCTATAGTGCTAGATCTAATAGGACTAGACGTATAGCCGTCGGCCCGTAGCTTCTTAGTTAGTCGCTCGGAATAGGGCGCTAAGTAATTATAGATAGTAATTACGCTACTGCTAATAGCAGTGCCCTTTATAGTCCTTAGATTGCCGCTAGCGGCAACCTCTACTCTTACCTTCTATCTTATTATTATAGCCGCTAGGCTCTTACCTAGATAGTTAATCGTTATAGGCGGCGCCGTTAGATCTAGTAGATTGTAGCCTATTCGAATGGCCTTCGCCTATCGTATAAGCATATTAGGACTAATCTTTATATAATTCTCCTATCGTTAGCTTCTATTTACCTAATAATAGCTATTACGGTTAGGACAAGCCTTATCCTTATAGACCTACCGGTTACGTAATAAGTGTTAATAATCGCCGCTAGGTATAGGTATCGCTTCTTCCGCGTCGAAATCTACCTCTTATAAGCTACTACTAGCGCTAGTAGCCGCTCGTTAAGACGTACGAAGCTCGCGAATAGCCTATTACGTTACGTTGCTACTACTATTACTACGACCTTAAGAAGTAGGCGTTCTCGGGGATAGCGGCTTCTTAGAGATAGGCACCCTTAGGTAGATAGTAAGGTTCTTCTTGCCTTACAGATGCTACTTATAGAGCTAATATAACGCCCTTTAGATACAACCCCTTAATATCCTAGTCTCGAGGTATATTAGATAGCGATTAGCCTTCGTAATAGTCTTAAAGCGAGGCTCCTCGTATCGCTCTTAAAGGCGCGACTACTCGTCGTCCTTCTATTATAACTATTCTTCCTTATAAGTGCCGTAGTCGTTGTCGGAGGTTATCTTTAATAGCTTACTAGCTAAGGTCTCGTAACTATAGATAATAGTCTATAGTAGGGTAATATTATATAGCTCTTCTTCTTCTTATTCTACGTCCTTATCTTCCTCGCTAGCCGCTATATAGTCGTCTTAGTCTATAGCCTCGTTACTAGTAACCTAAGTGCCTTTACTATCGCTTCTAGCTATAGCTTTATCTAGTAGGGCGTCGTTGTCTTTATTAGTAGGTAGCTCTATAGTATTCTAACGGCGGCGACGGCGAGGTTGTTTACTTATCTGTCTTAGCTTCTCGATATTGTACTTAGGCGGCTATCTATTGCAGTCCGAAGGCTTTATTAAAGGCGGTAAAGGTACTAAAGAGATAGTAGATTAAACAGACTCGAGATTAGCCTCCTTCTTAGCCCTAATCGACACTACGAACACTACTAGGCTAGAAGGAGCATACTGTTTACCTACGACCCACTATTTGCTAGCGAAACACTAACAAACCTCGGGTATGCGGTATAGCGGCTGTTCTACGGGTTGGCACGACATTTCGCGCATTGTAATACTGTAGCGTCATTTCCCCTTTCGAAACACTTCTTCTTCCTGCCACTGCGAGTCTCTTTTCTTTTCAGTCACAACTGCTTGTGGCCACAGTCTCATCCTCATCGAACTGCTGAATTCCGCGATTCGAGCGTAGAGGAACGGCATCTTTGAAGACCGTCTTCCATATGGGCCGCGGCTTTATTCCGCCGCCGCTAATAGTGGAGCTCAGCATGCAGTCAAATACCGTGAGGCATCATCTGGTGGCTGCATCCGAACATGCTTACTACACGCAGCTTAGCGAAGGCAGCATCGTATATCTCTCGAAGAGCGTATACGGCAACTATGGCTCAGATGCATGTCAAACGGACTACCATGTTTAAAGTGCCTGGAGAGCATATCGATACGGTCTTGAAGGAGTACGAAGTTCTGAGGAAGAATGCCAAACGGGTAAGCTCTCCTAGTATGGCTTTCGATGTCCAATGTCACATGTACTGAATTGCATGCAGAATAGCGAACCATATATCGTCTCAAACGTGAGCAGAAGGGTCTTGAATACCGGCTCGCCGCTCAGCGACGGCTATACGATTGTATCACAGTCAATCTTCAAGAACCACGACGATCACGAATTTTATAATAAAGAATGCGAGGCGCATAAGGAGTTGAAGGCAAGATCGAGCATCCTAGGAACTGATGCCGCTGAATCGTCTGACATGAGTCTAGAAAACCACAAGCAAAGTCCGTACTGGTGTGTTGACCGTGGTTATCGAGGGCGAATGGCCCGAGCCAAAGTTGTAAAGATCATTACCGTACAACCACTAGAATACTAACTCGCTCTCGCTCGATTGAATGATCTGTCCCATCTCGTGGCAGTATTCAAGTTCCTGCATCTCTCAGCTGACAAAGCGTGGCAGTGGCACTGTGGCAGCGTAGCTCCCCTGCGCGGTCGGGAGGAATTCGAATCAATTCGGAATACATCGTACTAGGAACATACGCATCCTTGCCTAAGCTGGCCAATCGTTTCCACAGCTGCTCGTAAGGAGAAGGTGAGTTTGCCGACCTTGGGAGCTCTGCGGCTACGTCAAGAATGATATTTCTCGGATGTCGCGTGCTTTGTATATGTTCTGCCTTTTCTTCCTTACTAGATTTATATGTTGCACCTAAAGTGTCCATTGCGGGATCGTTCTGTGTTGTGAATCGTGCTAGGGATGCAACTAATCATCGGATTGACAACTATGTAACTATACAAAGAAGGATTAGGAGCCTGCTATAGAAACTGCAGTTAATATACCTATTGTGTGTCCTTCCTCTTGGCATAGGTTAGCTAATGCTATCAGCTAACTAGCATATTACCTAACTGAACTACAACACTCCCCCTTAGGCAGAGATAATATACTGTTCAGATTAGACACTCTAAATCTAGGCTTAGAGCTTTACTTTATCTTCTGACTGTCTTTAGATGTTAGACTATATCTGCTTTATATACAGCTTCATATGCTATGCTACTTGTACGTGCTTATATTATATTGTTTACTAATTGGTTTGCTTTAGAGTAATGTCCTTAGTCGTAATTGCAGGGTTAGCAGGCGCCTATAAAAGACACTTGAACTTAACTAGACAACTTGAACTTTTACAATCTACTCTTTAGCAATCCCTAGAGTACTAGCAGCCTCTACTAGATTTCAAATTCTTACTAAGACCTTTCAAGTCTAACAGCTAGCCGAGACTTTATTATAGCGATAATTCTTTACCCTAGCTTAGGGAGTATAGCGAGTAGTATAGGTAGTAGTAGCAGCGGCGGCGGTAATAATAATCCAAACAAGAATCGGCACCCTTCGCGTTATAATAAGCTCTAGCTTGTAGAGACTAGTAAGTATTGCTGTTAGAGTTTCCCCTTTTCTAACAATTTGCTAACTAGGCGTAGTCCTTAAGGAAGTTCAGTTAACTATCGCGATTCTCTAGAGAATTATCTAGTGCTTAACCAATATTAGTCCGGAGTAGACTCCGCCTTAGCTACGCAACGTTAATGTTAGGCATTTTATTACGAGCTAGGATAATGCTCGGCTATTTCTAAGTATACCTCCGCGTCTACGTAAGGCGGCTAAGGCATTCAATTTAGGCTCAAAATCGAATGTTAACTACTTGCCTGCCGCGCTTGTGTATGCGGCTACCGCTAGACGCGTGCATACTAGTAACAGCTAGTGCGGTCCTTACAAGCAGTCAAAGGGTCCGTACTTAGAGTGTGTAACTCTAAGTTATCGAATCAACGGTTAGGATATCGCTTTCCTAAAGGGCGCTTGCACTAACTGTGCTAGCCTAAATTATTATAGTTAATGCGAGTTCTCTAGTGAGTTGAATCTAGTCTTATACATATTTTTTTTAAAGCAAAAACACTAATTCTTTTGTTAGGTTACGTCTCTCGGCTACGCTCTAATACGAATCGTTAGGCGCCTATAGCGCCTCTGCCGCCTCGCAATCCGGGGAGCAGAGTAGGCACTAATTAGCGTCGTCTATATATACTAGTCCCGTCTAGCATCGATTAGAGTACTCCTTAGGGCGCCTAGGCAGTAGCAAATTTGCTGCTATAGCAGGCAAATGCTTATGCCTAGGCTGCTGCTTAGGGACGTAGTCGTAGTCTAGGTTCTAGGTTGTCTACTAGTCCTAGCTCGACTCGTAGTTCCGGTAGTCCTTAGGAGGGTTTCTCTAATTACGAAGATAGTAATACTAAGATGGGTAGCTGATTAGGGAGATTCGGTTTTTTCTAGTAGACAGAGAGCTATAATATATGTTTTCGATTTTGAAATAGGCTAGGTAGTCTGGATTAGTGAAAGCCTTATAGCATTAGAGAGTTTCTAACTCTTAAGGGCTGGGGTATTTCTTCCTGCTTAGTCTTAATATTGTTATAAAAGAAATTTTGCAGCTTAGACTGCATAGTGCAGCTAGGCTGTTTCCAGAAATTAGAATGAAATTCAATGAGTATATAAAGCTTGTTTTCTAATCCTACAAATAAGATTTTTCTTTCTAAAGGAATGACTTAGGAGTTTGTCCTAGAGACGCTGTATTATTAGAGAATTTTGTTTAGAGATTTGGGCTTAGTGAAACAGTCCGCTAGCTGTTTGTTAGTAGTAACGAATTCGACACTGATCTTTCCCTAGGTATACTGTTCTCTGTAGTAGTAGTTCCTAAGGGAAACGTGCCTCGACCTCTTAGAATTTGTATAGTCCTTAACAAGGGAAATAGCTAACTAGTTGTCTACCTAGATATGAATCCTATTGACTTCTTCCTTAGTAAGTAGTTGAAGCTTAGTTATTAAATTTCGGAGCTAGCAGATTTCTCTGTATGCTTCTATTAGAGCAATATACTCTACTTTAGTGCTAGAGAGCACGACTTCCTTCTAGAGCTGTAATCTCTATATAATTAGAGTGTTGTTAAGAAGTATAAGGGCGCCTAATATTAATCTTAATAATAAAGGGTTACTAGCAAAGTCTGCGTTAGAGTATGCCTGAAATTCCAAAGTTTTCTTCTTTCTAAAGACAAGTCCTTTGTCAACTATGCTAGCAATATACCTCTAGAGATGTTTAGCAGCTATAACATACTTAGGTCCGGGATTCTAAAGGAACCTAGCAAGGTGGTTGACGGTATAGCTAATGTCTAGTCTAGTTTAGTTAGCTAGAAACTGCATTTCACTAATCATAGTATTAAACAGCTAGTAGTCCTAACGGTTATAGGGGGTTGTAAGAGGCTCGTAAAGCTTCTTAAGTAGATGCTTTATTAGCTTGTACTAGTCTAAGCTATGCTTCTGAAGCTTCTCTTTAGTATAGTGTATCTAGGAGATAGTAAGGTTTCCCTCCTTGTCTTCCTTTAGATAAAGGCCTAGAAACAGGTTGGACGTAACAATCTTAATTGTATACTTCTTGCGAAGACCTTCAATTAGAGCATCGATCTTTGCCTTAGAGGTTCTAAAGATTTAGAAATTATCTATATAAAGGAGGATAAGAATACTATTACCTTACTATAGGCAATAGTTACTCTTTGTCCTGCTTAGGCTAAGTTGACGAAGAGTGTCTAAAGCATTATAGTGCTAGAGATTAGCAGCCTACTTAAGGCTATACAATCCTTTTCTAATACGGATGATCTACTTTAGAGGGTGCTTCTTAAATAGGTGCGCGCCTTTTAGGGGTCTGATAAAAATCTCTTTATCTAGAGGGGGATTCAAGAAAGCAGTCTCGATATCAACCTGTCTTCGCTTCTAGTTTTTGTTTACTAAAAGCCTAAGGACAAGTCTAGTAGTAGCTGCTCTTAGTATAGGAGCATAGGTGTTGATATAGTTAAGACCTTGCTTCTGTATAAAGCCTCTAGCTGTCTATCTTGCCTTGTATTTGTCAACGGAGCCGTCTAGCAGGTATTTGATCTTGAAAACCCATTTTCCTATTAGAGGTATTCTGCCTTTTAGCAGGGATTCGGCTAGAATCTACTCGATTGCACTAGACTTTTCAAGAGACCTTATCTCTTTTGTAACGGCTTTTCTCCATTTATCCTAGTTAGGCCTTTTTAGGGCTTTAGCTAGGGTTGTTAGGTTAGCTGGCTTCTAAGCATCTTTTGTAGTAGCAGCTATAGTAATCTTAGTGATCTTGCTATAGTTATGCTTAGCTACGGCTCTGCTAGACCTGAGTCGTACTTCGGCTTAAGGAGGGTTTAGCTAAGGTAGGTTAGGAGCCCTCTTTCTCTTGCTAGTAGTCTTAGGGACTTAGAAGGGAGTGATTGGGGTGTCTTCTAGTTCAGCAGTATCTGTTTCTTAAGTATACTAATTTTTCTTAGGAGCAGCTTCCTACTAGGCAGCTAGTAGTTCTAGTTAGTGATTTTGGAGTGTTAGCTTATTAGCTATAGGTGTTGGCTAAGGTAGTATTCCTTGCTTAAGTGTACCTTGCTCCCCCTAAGCTGTAAGGGAGTCTTCCTAATCTTCCTGATTATAAGCCTGCTAAGGCTAAGGGATACTACCTCTAAATAGCTCCCCCTAAGGTTCTAAAGAGTGCTAAGGTGTTTGGTTATTACTAGGGAATAGTGCTAGGATTCCTAACTTAAATGAAAGGTCAGACTGGGTTTCAAGTACCTAAATAGTCTCCTAAGGGACAGCTAGTCTCAAATACTCCCCCTAAGCTTAAAGGGTACTTAGAAGCTTAGTAAAATTGTCTTTATAGACAAAGTCCTCGTTGAAGGTAACGTGTAGAGAGAATCTAATGTTATATTACTATACGCCATCCTTCTAGTACGGGTTCTAGAGCAGATAGTTTGTTGATAAATTTTCTTAGAATCTAATAAACCAGTAAACGAAAGCTCTTAGTGCAAACTTCTAGGAGTTAAGTCGTTCAACCCCGGATTCGAGGTATTTGAATGCCTTATAGCCAAATCGTCTCGTCTTAGACAAGTTAATATCTATACTACCGATATTCAAGTCTAATTTAAAGGCCTTAAGTAGAACTTCCTTAGTTCTCAAGTTTACTAGTCTGTTAGTTAGGTAAATCGAATGCATTACTACAAAGTACTAGTAGTACATTAGTAGGCTAGAGTTAATTATCATTACTCTTGCCTTAAGCAGAATCGTCTTGTTTAACGACTCTGCAATACCATTCTACTCCGGTGTATATAGTATAGACACATCCTATCTAATGCTAACTTCCTCTGCAAAGTGTACTAGATCGTTGTTAGTAAACTCTCCCCCGCTATTACTAAAGATAATTTTGGGGATTTTGTTGTATTGCCTCTTAATTCTAGCTATCCAGTTGGTTAGCTTGTTACTACTTGTTACCTTGTCTTTGTTTCGAAGTAATAGACCCTACCTAAGCCTAGTTTTAGCATTAGTTAGGATTATAATGTACCTGTTTCTAAACAGATTAAATGGTTGTACGCTAACAAGGTCAACATAGACTTCGTTAAGGGCTTTTTCTAGTCTAGTTCTGTGTTCTCTTAATACAACTCTTTAAGCTCTCGAGAGCTTGTAGGTCTTACAGTACTCGAGTTCAGATATATCAACTTCTTCTAGGCCTAGAATAGCTTCCTTAGTAGCTATTAGGATCTTGTTGCCGACGTAGCTAAGTCTCTAATGCTATCTCAATGTGTCCGCTCGTAGTCTAGCGATAGCTAGGGCTAATAGCTGCCCTTTCTAACTCGATTCTAAGTTTGGTTTTAAAGCTAAGCCTAGCATTTTAACTCTAGTATCTTTAAGGGTAAGTACTCCTTATACTTCCTCAACCTTTTTAATTAGCTTGCCTTTAAGCATTAAAGTGCCTAAAGGTCTATCTAAGTGAATGCTACATTTCTTCTAAAGACGCTCTGCTAAGATTAGGTTGCAATCTAAGTTCGGGGAGTAGAGGACGTCTATTAGAGTAATTAGGGTTTTCTTTCCTTTATAGGTTAGGAAGATGTTAACAGTTCCTAATCGTAATATACTTGATTTTCCTACTGCTTAGGAGAACTGAATAGGCTTAGTTAGGTACTTGAGATCGCTAAACTAGCTCTTGTTCCCTATAATGTGTAGTAATGTACCTGTATCCTAAACTTTTGTATTGGCTATTAGGTTCTTAGAGCTTGCTACAGCTAGTCCCGGCTTTGCAATAGCTCCCCCAATTAGGCCCCTACTAAGGCCGTCTAGCTAATAGTCTCCCTTATCTTCCGAGTTAGAGGAGGAGTCTAATTCATCTTTATTATTGTTAATAGCACTACTAGATTTGCCCTTTCCTTTGCCTTTACCCTTCTTGCCTTTGTCTTTGTCTTTGCTCTTGTCTTTCTTTCCCTAACTAGGTAGTGCTATATTAGGGTGTTGCTTGTAGCACTTAGCGTTAGTATGTTTATGCTTGCACTGAGTGCACTAGTCGTTATTATTACCAATAGCCCCTCTAACAAGCTTTAAGCCGCTAGATGACTATCTAGGAGGCTTTTCTCTCCTTAGGGACGTTATTATTACTTTAAGGGAGGAGTCCTTAGCTTCAGGCTTGTTGTTGTACTTCTAGGATCTAAGCTATTCGTAACTAGAAAGGCCCTAAATAAACAGCATCCTAATAAGCATATTAGGTATCTTAATGTCTAATGACTTTATAGGCGCTTCTATTGTTGTAACTAAGCTAGCAAATTGTTCTATCGATGTTTGAAATCTATTGAACTACTGCTAAAAAGATTCGCAGTACTACTAAGTGTTCGGATTAGTAAGGGGCATCCTAATGTGCCTAATGAGTTTGATAGTATCAAATATGTCTACGGTTACAATAGGCTTATATAGAGCCTTAATGTAGTCGTATATATCCTTAGCTAACTTAGGTGTGTTACCGAAGTCTAGTCTAAGAGCAGGGTCGAGTCTAGTAATAAGTATGCCTAGGGCTTAGATGTCTTTCTTTTTCTAATCCCTAAACATATCTCTATACTACTAATCGGCTAAGTCCCCTATAAACATGCTCTTTAGAGGTGGTTTTATTTTATCAGCCTAGTTAAGTCTATAGAATACTATACTAACTAGGTCCTTTTCTAGAAGGGCCGCCTAGAATATAAGCTTCTAGTCTTAGAAGTTGATCCCCTTCCTAAGAACCTGATTCTCCTTTGCTGTCTTTGTCTAATTGGTGTCTATCGTTCCTAGCTGCCTTTTAGTATAGTGCTAGGCAGGGCTTATAAGGGACACTTGCTAGGTTTTAGTCCGAACTAGAGCTCTTAACTAGGTACCTAATAGGTCTAGATAGCTAGCTCTGTTTAGTAGACTCTAGAAACAGTTCTTTTATAGTTGAACTGGACAGGTAAGCGTATACGCCGGGCTTATAACCTGTTGTAAATCGTGCTAGGGATATAACTAATTATCGGATTGACAACTATATAACTATACAAAGAAGGATTAGGAGCCTACTATAGAAACTGCAGTTAATATACCCATTGTGTATCCTTCCTCTTAGCATAGGTCAGCTAATGCCATCAGCTAACCAGCATATTACCTAACTGAACCACAACATTCTGGAAAAGCATTCTGGAAGCAGCAAGCCTTCCCGAACAGAGCGGGCCGACGTCAGCCGACGACGCTAGGGCAGATCTCCAGGGCTTGGAGCGAAACCCATAGTCAACTTCCAAAACTTCACGTTACAGCTTTTTTCGCCTCGCCGTAGATACAAGCTCTTGAGCGACGACATTGAGTATACTGGCAGTAAAGGCCTCGGAGTCCTTGGCAATACTCTCGCAAGGTTCAGCCGGAAAATATACCATTGCATTCACTTGCTCGGGCATCGGAAACCAGTTCCGAAATCTGGACGGAGACCGGATTTCTTGTCCATGTAAATCCACTTGCTGGACGTGGAAACTGTCCACCTTCAATCGTTGTCTCCTGGGCCTCTGTTACAGAAAAAGATACAAGCGGCTATGGCGGCGGCGGCCGAGAAAAGGCCGAAGCTGGGCCAGAGGATCATTGGCAGTGCAAAAGGATTGGCGTGTTCTACGTTCTCTGGCGTTCCTGGCATCGAGGCAGAATTCAAGAGTCGTGATCCGTTGGGTGTTGGGAAGCGAGTCGCGGCGCCTGCGAGAAGAGGCCTCACAGCCTCAGACTTCTCAGACGATGTATTAAGGAGCTCAAGTTCAGCTGCCAAGGTGGAATGTTTTCGCAGCGTCGTGGAAGCTGAACTATCCTCTGTCGAGCAAGACTTCAGAAACTTCATGTCAGGTCAGAACTTCCAATCATTTGAGAGCACTCAATGGCCAAGTCAAAATTTGGAAGAAATTGGCTTCAAGCATCGTAAACTAAGTCGACAGACTCGGAAGGGCGTTGATGGACCAGTAAATCGCGAGAGTGACGCCGATATTGAGCACCCGGAGCCAGTATGGGAACGTTCAAGTCAGGGAGAAGTGGTATATCAAGAAGATGGCAGACCGGAGTGGAAGTGGAGACACGAGTGGCGAAAGCTGAGAAAGCAACATCAAGAGCAGAATCATCACCTCTTAGAGCAACGGACGGCAAAACCTTGGGAGAAACATGCGTCAGAGCAAATGGACGACTTCGATCTACATCAATCAGTCGCACTGGCAAGACTAAGACAAATCCGACGACACTTGGTCATTCCCGAAAACCAACAACGTGACCTACCGACTTGGAAAGAAGACTGGGAAAAGCACTTGGAACGCTGCGATTTCAGTATCGACCGGGAAATGGACAACTATTCACCACCTTTAGAAGAAGCCCATCGACCTCTGGAACAAGAGCACTACTACTTCCACTGCCCATACCGAGAATGCCACCATCGACTCTTACGCCAGAACGAGAATCTCTCTTTAGCATTCCGACATCGAGTCTGTGTCCACGACGGCTGTGGCTACGTCTCACAAACCGTTGACGAATGGCTCAAACACGTCACTTCCAACCACCATGGAATTCAAGAAGGCCCTTCCGAGCACAGTTCCAAGACGTGGTATCATGGCAATCCTCGTGGAGCTTCTACTACTACTACAAGTGAGACTCTCTGAATAATAGCATAGCATAGTATAGTACGGCCATCACCGCCGTGCGTCCTAACATGAATTATAGAAATCTTTCCCGCTTTCATGTCCCGTGGTGTGTGGATTTCGAGGAAGGGGTCGAGGTTGGAGATCCAGACTGCTCCTGCTCCTGCTTCTAGGCAAGAATTTGGGGGCTTGATGATGATGATGGGTGATGGGCTGCGTAAGAATTATGTGAGATGGTCTACGGAGATGGATGTTGATGAGGAGTGGGATTCGCCGAGCTAGGGTGGTTTTATAGAGGTAGCTGGGAATTTTGTAGGCGGGGAATGATTGGTTTCTGTCTGCTACGGAGAGTACTGTATCCTGTGACGGAGCGCTGTCAACTTGGAAAGAGTTATTATGTATGTCAACGGACGTGGTGGAGATGGATGCTGACAAGGCACGTGTGGGTCTAAGCACAGCATGCATGAATTGACGGTAGACACCGTTTTGTAGGACGATGGCAAGATCGCTCCTTAGCGACGCACAGCCCGCGCTTGATGATGTTGCGATTCGGAGTGCTTGCCCATGATTCTCAGGGTGTCCTTGACCAGCTGGACGAATATGTATGTGCTTTTGCATTGGCCAGCTGATCGCTGCGGGCGGGCGTACTTCGTGCACTGTCATCTCGCACAGATCAATGGGGCTACCGAATACCTTTCGCCATTCAGTGAGTATGCCTTTATATTTTGTCGCACGACTCCAGCCGATTGCGTAAAGGAAGACTATCTCCTTCCTGGGCAGACACTAGCAGCAATTGTGAAGACCAATGAAATAGAGGAAGAGCTACAAGTCGGCACCTCGCATTTAAGAAGATCGAAACACGAAGGACTGAAATCGCTTGCATGTGCTTCATTATTGGACAAGTCTTATCTGGATCCAAACTTTGCATGTGTGTCTCTCAGTCTCGATACATACTGATGAATTGTGCAGATAATTCATCCTATTTCTTCGAACAGCTCTTCTCAGTTTCGCCTGATTTCTCTAATCGATTCGAATCAAGTACTGTATTCGACATGGGGATGCACTGCTCTGTAGTCCTATCTCGAGACCAGACTAGAGATAGGATTATTTGAGAGTATTTTGGTATATGTGTGTGTGGCATAGTATATAGCTAAGGTGTAGCATAGTATGCAGCTAAGGTGTAGTATATAGCCAATTAGCGTTTAGATTATAGAGATCCTATCTCTAGTCTAGCCCGTTTCTGTCGCAATTTAGCTATTTATATAGATTTTCCCCTCTTAAGGAAGCACTCGTCGAGGAACACAAATTAATATATAATATATAGTAGAGGCCCTAGATAATATAATTATCTAGGCCCGCCTAGTAGTACTTTTTCGAATTACGGTCTAAATAGTACGTATTCTTATCGTCGCGGTATAGAGTAGCCTTCTATATAGCCGAGCGTATTCGGTTTTTAGATTATATTCGATTTTCCTAAACTAAGGCTATCGTATATAGAATAAAAAATAGTAATTAGTATATATAAAGTATTTATCTAGGTCGCTACCGTAGCGGATTTTCGAATTTTAGTCTAGGTATTGCGTATTCTTTCTTCGAAAAAAAATTCGGGTCGCTTTATCTATATACGCGTACTAAAACCCCGATAGAAGCGGATTAGACTAGTAATAAAGGGTATTATATAGTCTATGCGGGAGTTTATTTCTATAGTAGCTTATAGTAGCTAAGCTAAATTATACAGATATACTAACAACCCTTTGTTACTAGTCTAAGTAGAGATAGTCTATAGTCTATAGTCTAGGGGCATACAAGTGCCGCTCTAGTAGGTCTATATAGGCGGCTACTTGCCTCTTTTAGACCGGATAGTTAAGGTATTCTCGCCTATGTTTAAGACTACTATAAGTTGCTCTAATGCTATCTAGGGTAATCCCTTGTTTCGCGCTATACGAAGCTCTCGTCTAGGCGTATAGAAGCCTTACGAACTCTACGAAGGACGAATTAAGTCCTTAAGATAGCCTATTAAGCGAAGAACTAAGAGGTCGGTACAACCTTTATTTGTTATTAGAGTTAGCTACATATTGTATTTACTTATTATACAATCGCTAATAATATTCTTAGTATAACTAAATACCGAAACTATGCGAATACTGTAGCTCTTTAGACAACGACCGCTATGTCTTCGCAAATTAAGCTAAGTATATATAGAGAGCTACCCCTAAAGCAATACGGGATCTCTATACATGCGGCCTCGAAGGTTTAGTAGATATGCTAGCGACTAAGCGCTCTTAATGTCGACCTAATAATCGATAGAGATACTTATATATTATAGCTGTTAATTGTTAATTCCTATAATTATATAATTACTTACAATTACAGTAATTGTAGTTATAATTGTTATGCGTGTGATTATGTGATTATAATTACAATTAGTCGGCGTTTCTTAGGCAATCGTAGGCAATACTACGGCGTACAAGTATCCCTCAATTTCGTAGTGTTTCCTCCTTCTTCCTTATACAAACTCGTATTAAAAATAGGTTAGAAGCGCGTAGAAGTAATCGAGGTAGGTTAATAGCGAATACTGTCGGTTGCTATAGCTAATCGTATAGATATTAGATAGCGAGTTAGAGTCGGAGGTTAAGGTTATAGATACCTTATTGTCGCTACTACCGCTGCCGCTGCTATAGACTTAGACTTAGACTTAGCCTGTCGACAAGAAGCCTATCGCTAACAGCGCTTCCGATAAAGAACAACCGGTTACTAAGAGGCTTCGTAAGAACCCGAAGAAGACGGTAAAAGGTTAGGATTAGCTCGATTAATAGTATAAGGAAATAGGGGCTTAGCAAGCTGTTATAGAAGGGTTGTTATAGGAGTCTCGCCGTATACTAAAGGAATACGAAGGCGTAGAACACCGACTAATTGCGAAGAATACCGAGCTCGATATTTATAAGAAGAAGGTAGAGGCTTTCGAGGATTACATCCGTAAGAAGGGTAATTATATAGCCGTATATCTAGCGGACTGTCGCTGCTAGGTCTGTCGCGAGTAGATATAGAGGGTAGAAGAGAGGGCGAAGCACTTTAGGTTTAGTAACCCCTATACTTGCTACTCGTATATACTACGTATAGGCGAGGAATGCGAATTAAAGCTCGAGCTCGCCGTATAACGTGCTCGTAATATATTAGCTATCGAAGCTTTCGGAAAGGAGTATATTAGTAGTAGTAATAGTAGTATTAAAGGTGTTAAAGGTATTATAAAGGATTAGAATAGTATATAGAATAGTAGGAGTTATTGCTTGCGCGCCTGCCTGTTCCTATTAATTATATTATTTAGGGTCTTTAAAGCCTAATAGGAGCCTTCGGAGTCTACTAACCGAGCGGCTTCGGCTCGCGCCTTAAACCTTAGTAAGCCCTATTAAACTCAAATTTTCTAAACCTCTATTCTTTTATAACTTCTACTATTTCCTTACTATAGTAGAGATACGCAAAAACCCTAAGCCTTTATAGCGGCGCTTAGAAAACTTCCGTAAGAACTAAGAAACCTAATAGGAAACGTAGGATAGACAACAGATACTATTTACCTAAGATTCGAGCGATCTAAGCGAACTCGAAGATATCGAAGACAGAGAGGTACTAAATCCTATACTACTACTACTACTAAGTTAACCTCCTTAGCTAATACCTAACCTATTATTCCTTCCTATATAGTCCTTATCGTCCTTAGTAACACCTACGTAACCGACACCGACACCTATACTATCTAAGAAGCGAAAGAGAGCTAGCAATAGGCGTAATCCGGAGTTGTAGTCTTACTCGAGACCTCTAAAGGATAGCGAGCCTAAAAGAGTTAAGAACAGCCGCTATCGAGTATTCTACTATAAATACTATAGCGACAACGATCTAGAGCGCTTTTAGTCTCAATCTAGCAACGCCGCCGAGCACCTATTCTATAAGCATTAAGTTATCGTTAGTCGTATAAAAGAGAAGGATAATAGTAAGAAACAGAGTACAATCGACTTCTTAGCTACTATCCGGAAGAACTTAGAAGTTAAGGCATAGAAGACCGTTAATATACTAAAGAACGCAGCGGATAAGAAGACCTTTAGATACGCTCTCGTACGCTTTGTTATAGCACTTAGTATCTCTTATAGTGCTATTGTAACGAAGGAGTTTAAGGACCTAGTATTAGCAGTTAACCTATAAGCTAACTACGTCCTCCTACGCTTATATACGACCCTCTTTAGCTACATTCTATATAACTTCGAGCACTAGCGAGAGCACGTCAAACAAGGCTTATTAAGCGCCTTAAGCTGCATCTACGTTAGTACTGATACATAGAAGTCTTAGTATAGAAGAAAGCACTTCTAGGCTATTAATTGTTAGTATATAAACAATAAGGGCAAGTTAGTTTAACTACTGCTAGATCTTCTACAACTTCCGGTCGGCTCTTATATAGGCGACTTCCTCGCACTACTACTTATTAATAGCTTTAAGGTCTTCAATATAATAGACAAGATCGGCTAGATAACTGCTAATAATAGCTCTAACAACAAGACCCTCTATATAGCTATAGAGACCTTTATTTAAGCAGAAGGCTATAGCTACTTCTAGAAGCGCTATCTACGCTATATTAGCTATATTATTAACCGGATAACGTAGGCATTTATGTTCGCTAGGAGTAAAGAGTCCGCCGAGAGTAAGGAGTTTGAACTATCTATAATAGACTCGGATAGCGACACTATATCTATCTCGAAGTAGCTAGATATAGACGTAGAGTCCTTTACTAAGCAAGGTCTACTGCAACGGCTGTTCTTACTAGCTAAGCTTCTACGCTAGAACGACAACTTCAACGTATTTAAGGAGGTATATAAGGCCTAGCCTTTACTGCCTACTACAATACCTAAGATTCTAGGTAAAACACGCTAGAATAGGTAGCTTCTTATAATTAAGGAAGCACTATAAACGAGGCTAATATTAAACAGCTTCTTCGATAGAATGCCGCACTTAAGAGACTCTTAGCTTACTACCGAAGAATGGTCTATTCTATAGTATACTTACGACTTCCTCATACTATTTAAAGAGGTTACCCTTAAGCTACAAGGCTATATAGTGACACCAGATTAGTACTAAGAAGCTATAGAATATATAAGAAGCTACCTTACTCGGTTAGTAGAAGACAATACTCGGCGTTAACCTCTTATCCGTTTAATTTAGCTAGCAAGATAGCTATTCGATAAGTACTATCGTCTTAACTAATAGACCTATATCTACGCCGTAGCAGTCCTTCTATATCCAACTCGGCGACTCGCGTAGTTAAATAAGTGCTTAGCAATCGATATAGACGCCGCCTTATTAGAAGCTAAGGCTCTATAGTACGATTACAAACAGCGCTATAGATATAGCACTCCTTACTCAACTTCTAACCGCAACCTCGAAGGTCTTACTAACCTAGAACGTTAGTAAATACAGTTACAAGCCGACCTTGTTACTAGCGACGAAGATGCCTTCGAAGCCTTTATCTATAGACTACTAATTAGCCTTCTAATTGTCGGTAAAGACTATAACAATAGGCCTGTTCACACAATACTAATCAAGTAGTAGACACAGCAACAATCGGCTAATCTAGCACTCGTACGGCTTGCTATCGACCTATTGTCTGCATTCGCTATATCCGTAGAGTCTAAGCGGACCTTTAGTAAGAGCCGGCGTACGATATTATAGGAGCGGTCGTTACTTAGTAGTAACACTATCCGTATAAGTGAGTGTTTAAAGAGTTAGCAGTCTATAGGCGTTGCTTATATACTATTAGAAGGGCTGTATTTACTAGAAGGCGTAGAGTACGAAGATAATATATTGCTAGCTACTAATAACGACTATAGTCTTTGAAATAGCATCCTTCTTAACTATAACACTTACTACTATATTGATTATATAATTATAGCGATTGTAATTGTTAATTAATCACTCACCTAAGATTATAATTGTAATAACAGTTAGGTAATTGTAATTAATTAACAATTAATAGCTATATTATGTATAGATCCATTCAATTCGTCTAAAGAACACTGATGTTACAGTATATAACACAGACACCGAACTTGCTTATGCTCTACTACTTGCG